ACTAAAACTCAACACTCAAAAAATGAAGATCATGGCATCCGACCCATCACTTCATGGCAAATAGATGGGGAAACAATGGACACAGTGAGACTCATTTTCTTGGGCTCCAAAATCACTGCAGATGGTGACTGCAATCGTGAAATTAAAAGCCACCTGCTCCTTAGAACAAAAGCTATAACCAACCTACACAGCATGTTAAAAAGCTTTGCCGACAAAGATTTGTCTAGTCAAAGCTATGAGTTTTCCAGTGATCATGTATGGATGTGAGAGTTGGGCCATAAAGAAAGTTGAATGCCTAAGAATTGATGCTTTTGAACTGTGGTGTTGGAAAAGACTCTTGAGAGTCCCTTGGACTGCAAGGAGATCAAACCAGTCAAATACTAAAGGAAATCAGTCCTGAATATTCATTAGAAGGACTGATGCTGAAGCTCCAATCTTTTGGCCACCTGATGTGAAGAACTGACTCATTGGAAAAGACCGTGATGCTGGGAAAGATTGAAGGCGAGGAGAGAAAGGGACGACAGAGTATGAGATGGTTGGATGCATCACCGACTCGACGGACATGAGTTTGAGCAATCTCCAAGAGTTGATGATGGACAGGGAAGCCTGGTGTGCTACAGTGCATGGGGTCTCAAAGAGTCGGACATGACTGAGCAACTGAACTGGACTGAGAAATATCATACAAAGAAGGAGTAGAACTTAAAACGGCCTATAAATGTTCTAGTAAGCTTTAGTGTTTTATTCTGGAAAAATCATTTGACAATTCCAAAGTTGAATATTAAATGCACATCTAGAAATTTAGTAAACCAAATTTAAAAATCAGAAGATTCATTTAAAATCCCTGTATAAAAAGAAAAAAATAAAAGTGGAAAAGGAAGGTGGTGGGAAATTTGCCCTCCTAGTCTATATGTGTGTTGGGTCTTTGAACATGTTGTTTTGATTATCTGGAACACTCTTTACTTTCTCTGTGCTGAAATATACATATTAGTTTGCTTATCAGAGTCTCCCCTAACCATCACCACCCTGGTTCAGCTCTCCTAACTCATACTTCCCCTATCAACCATTCACAACACCTCACATCATTCGCATTAAAAAACACTCTTCTACAGACATTAAGAGCCGGTGCCTGATCTCATGAACTTACATTCTAGTTGAGGAAGAAAAAGTTAAAAAGTTAATTATTTAGTTCATAAAAATACTATATGTCCTATCCTAATATATCTTTATTTTTTGGTTTCTGGTCTCTTGTAATCATTCCCTTTCGAGACACAGAATGCTTTTTTATTCACCTCTGATGTAATGACTATATGATATTTTACAATATAGATTTACCATAATTTATAAAACCAGTCTTTTATTGAAGAGAGTTGAGGCTATTTTCAATCTTCGATTATTATTGTACAATGACTATACTTAACACATAATTCATTTCATACTTGGACAAGTTCTTCTGGAGAGCTAAACTCCAAGAAGTAAATTTTCCAGTTCAGAGAGTATGTGTATTTGCAATTCCACAACCGTTATTCATTTGTTCTCTAGAGGGGCACATCTATAACACATATTCCAACAAGAATACATGACAGTAACTTATAAAATGTGTTAATATCAACAGAGTTCTTAATAAAACTTTTGAATTTTTGCCACTTTAAGAGGTGGGCAATGGTTATTTTTTGTTGTTCAGTCACCAAGTTATGTCTGAATTTTTGTGACCCTGTGGACTGCAGCATGCCAGGCCTCCTCCTATCATCTCCCAGAGTTTTCCCGAGTTCAAGTACACTGCATTTCAGTGTAACTTTAATTTGTATTTTCTTAACAATAAATGGATGGCCCTTTTAAAAAATTGAGAGCCATTTCCTTTTTCTGTCTATGTTGGTCATTTTTCTTGGGCTGTTACTTTTGCATTATGATCTCTAGCTATTTTTATACTAAAAAGTTTAGCTTCTTGTGACATAAGTTGCAAATATTTTTAAAAAATAGATTGTCATATGATACAACTTTCTCTTACGATTTATTGGTCTATGGAGATGATCCTATAACTTTCTCTTTAGTTTTATTAATATGATGAATAGTATATTAATAAATTTGTTCTTGGTTTTCATTTTGACATTTTATAATGTTGTAATGCTTTGTAGAAATATTCAACTTTATTGCTCTTATTTTTTAGGGATGTCTTAATATTATTTATTTTCCATATGGCATTAGAATCAGCTTGCTAGTCCTAAATGAAAACAAATAAAATCTATTTGCATATTTTACTGGGATTATTTAAGTGTATACAGCAATTTTTTCTTGATGTTGAAAATTATTCAACTCTTTTCTTCTTGTTCAGATTCAGGAATATTTAAAAAATTTTATGTAAGTCTGAAATATTTTTTGTTAATATATCAGTTTGCTTTCAATTTCAATATTTTAATTTCACTTTTAAATTTAGTTCTCATGTTAACTTGTTAATAGATATTTAGTTCTCATATTAATTTTGTACCAGATTACCATGCTAAACTATCTTTTTGTTCATACCAGGTACACAATTGTATAATTTTAAAGCAGTGATAATTGGCTCTTTTTCAATTTTCAGCTGCAAAATATTAACATTAAAGAAAGCACTTTTGGTGTTGCTCCATTAAGTCCAGGTGTGACTTGGATGTGAATAAAGCAGAAGTTAAAAATTTTAACATTTTGGCCATAATTACATATAAATGCATGCAATATATATTTATCCTAAAATAAAACAGACTCTAAATATTGTTATCTCTATTTTATAATTTTGAATATATATTCTTTCAAATATGATTTTTTAAATGGCTATAATATTTCATAACATAAACATCATATAATTTATTTCTTCTCTCTTACAAGATACCGGGGTTTCTATGACACTGTAAACAGTACTGTGCTCACTGTCCTAGCACACACATTTTAGTGTACTCCAAATAGTCTTTTGCATAAATCTGAAAAAGTAAAAGTACTTCGAAAACTATACATAGCTTTAATTTATATTTTTTAACTGTATTCCATAAAAGTTTTATTACTTATTATGCTCATTATTGAACAGAGTTTACTTTTTACTGTATCCTTGATGAAAAAAGACATCTAAATTTTAAATAACTTTGCCAATTTAATATGTGAGGTATGTTTTCATCTTTGTGTGGCTTCATATTTCTTAATTTTTACTGACATTGAGCTTTTTTCTTCCTGGAATTCATGGAGCATTTGCACTTCTCTTTTTATAAATGTCCTGTCCATGCTTTGTGACTGGGCAGCTCTGGGGACACTGCCCTTTCTCTGATGAAAAAACTCTTGTTGCACACTCTTCTAAATGTGGCAAACAGCATCCTTCTCCCCATCATTGGGTCCTTTTAATTTTGTCTATCTTTTTAATACAGAATTTTAAATGTGTATTAATATATGATATTATCCTTCATATTTTATTTGGCTTTCATAGAGATTTTACTTCTAAAAATCAAATAAGTATGTGAATATATTTTCCTCATCTTTGCATTTTTTCAAATGTTACACTTATCTCTTATTATATAATTGTATGATCTGAGGACCATTATATTTTCTATCATGTTCCACTTGTCTCCCTGATGCATCTCGTGACAGTACTATACTCATTCATTTAATGAATTTTGTAATATGGGCTTCCCTGATATCTCCGTAAAGAATCCACCTGCAATGCAGGAGACCCCAGTTCGATTCTTGAGTCGGGAAGATCCCCTGGAGAACAGACAGGTTACCCACTCCAGTGTTCTTGGGCTTCCCTTGTGGCTGAGCTGGTAAAGAATCCACCTGCAATGCGGGAGGCCTGGGTTCAATCCCTGGGTTGGGAAGATCCCCTGGAGAAGAGAAAGGCTACCCACTCCAGTATTTTGACCTGGAGAATTCCATGGACAGTCCATGGAATCACAAAGAGTCAGACATGACTAAGCAACTTTCACTTTCACATGTAATGTAGAGCATATTCACCTTTATACTCTGTTTCAAAATCTACTATTTTTAATCATGTATTCTTTATAAACATAAAAAAAATTATCAACTTTAAAAAAAGTACATTGGAATTTTTAGTTTTGGCAGTGTTAAAACTAGCATTTTATTTAGGAAGAGTTGATTATATCAAGAATATTGTATTTTTCTCTGTCTCAAATTTTATATTTTCTTCATACTATTGGTAATTTTAATCTAATAAGCACACACACATACATATGATTTTTCCTCTATATTTTACACTTTATGTCTGGCCAATTAACATTCTTATGAAACTCTGAAAGTAAGCAATTTATTCACAAAATTATTAAAATTTCAACAATTTAGAGGTTATTTTTATGTCATTTCTCTTTAGGACTCCTATTGCAAAAAGAATACATTACTGTATTAATCACTTTTCTTTTTTGTTTTCACCAGTTTTAAAATCTAAAGAAACAACATTTTTGTTCATTTTATTTTATATTAAACAAGGTCATTAATTATAGCTCTTCAGATTATTTAACTTTGCAAGTGTATAACAAGTAATATGAAAAAATTGATTTTTATTCTCTCTCCGAGGTTATAAACATTGTCTTATGATATCACATAGCATTTACATGCTTAAGTATTTGACGACTGATATCACAAATAGATTTTATTTTATTTTTTCCCCATTTATTTTTATTAGCTAGAGGCTAATTATTTTACAATATTGTAGTGGTTTTTGTCATACATTGACATGAATCAGCCATGGATTTACATGTATTCCCATCCCGGTCCCCCCTCCCACCTCCCTCTCCACCCAATCCCTCTGGGTCTTCCCAGTGCACCAGGCCCGAGCACTTGTCTCATGCATCCAGCCTGGGCTGGTGATCTGTTTCACCCTAGATAATATACATGTTTCGATGCTGTTCTCTTGAAACATCCCACCCTCGCCTTCTCCCACAAATAATTTTAATATGAAGGCCCAAGAGTCCTATATTAATTCTGTCTATATTTATAGACCAAAATATCTAATGTTACCATTTATGTTTTAGGTTAGTGGGATGGTTCGGCCATGAACTAAGCACCAGATTTAATATGGATAACAGTAAGTGTATTCAATTTTACTTCACAAGTCATTTTATTTTATTTCAGTTTTCATCTTTGTATGATATGTAATATGCATGCCTCATGGAGAGTGCACTTTGAAAATGCCACTAAGAATTCTTAAAATAAGAAATGACATTTCCTCAATGTAAGACTAAGTATTCATAGATTTTAGTATGATTTTGAGTCTATCCTTTTATAGGGAAATAAGAGGAAGCAAAATCTAAAATACAGAATTCAGGTCTCACCAATATGGAGTACCTAAACCATCAGACAGTGGGGACAGAAAGGAATCATTGTCTTAGAGTCAGGCCCAGAGAGACAGGTATCAAGCCCATTTTGCTGTTTATTGGTTTTGTGATGCTGTACAAATTTGATCATTTTGGACTTTTAATTTTTTTTCCTCATGTATCTAATGTGAATAATAATATCTATTTCAGGGTCTGTTCTGAGGGTAAAACACGTTCATAGCTGTAAACCAAGCAGCATACTAATTAATAAATGTTCAGTTTTATCCCTCTCTTTTCCCAAGTTATTCTCCTTTTGTGGCTTTTGCCACAAGCATGCGTATGTGTGTGCTAAATCACTTCAGTCATGTCCAACTCTGTGCAACCCTATGGATTGCAGCCTGCCAGTCTCCTCTATCAGTGGGATTCTCCAGACAAGAATACTGGAGTGGGATGCCATGCCTTCTTCCAGGGGATCCTACCCCCTCCTAATGGATCAAACTTGCATCTTTTATGTCTCCTGCAGTGGTAGGCGGGTTCTTTACCACTAGTACCACCTGGTAAGCCAGCTTTCGTGACATACCAAACAGTAACCCCAGTGGATAGAAATTAAAGTACATAATTACTGCAGGGAGTTCTTAAACTTCCCTACTTCTCTTTCCTTCCCGAGTGACTTTATTCTTCCATCACACGGGATACAGAAAACTTCCTAAATGTTCTGTGAATTCAACTTAAACTTGATCCTTTAGAATGCTTCCAATCCTGAGATTTGATGTTACATATATACACGTTTGCATTGACAAAGATGCAAAGGATAAAGATGGGCCCTTTGAGTCAAATCAGGAAAGCTATATTTTTCTTAGCTGCTGAATCATGAACTCTTTTATACAGTTACTTAAATTGTTTGTAATAGGTTTTCTTATCTGTAAATGAGGAAACTGGGTTAGATCAGGAGTGGGCAAAGTGTGAAGGTTCAGACTGTAGATATGTTAAGCTTTGGAGGCTATGGCAAGTGCTAAAGCACTTGTGGTGCTTTAGCTATTGTGGTGCTAAAGCAGCCATAGAAATATATAAATAAGTGAACAGGGCTATGTTCCAATAAACTTTTATTTACAAAAATAAGGAGTGGGCCAGATGTGACCCATAGGACGTAGTCTGACTAGCCCTCAAAGGAGATCAGTCCTGGGTGTTCATTGGAAGGACTGATGCTGAAGCTGAAACTCCAGTACTTTGGCCACCTCATGCGAAGAGTTGACTCACTGGAAAGACCCTGATGCTGGGAGGGATTAGGGGCAGGAAGAGAAGGGGACGACAGAGGATGAGATGGCTGGATGGCATCACCGACTCCATGGACATGAGTTTGAGTAAACTCCAGGAGTTGGTGATGGACAGGCAGGCCTGGTGTGCTGCGATTCACGGGGTCGCAAAGAGTTGGACACGACTGAGCGACTGAACCGAACTGAACTGAAAGACCCAGAAGATTCTCTCACTCTAAGTCAGTATTAGTTTTCAATTTGCTCTAACTAGTAATTTTAACTCTTGGATTTAACTTGCAACTATTCAATATAATTAATTATATGAGAATATTGTCTGTTACTAACTTACATTTTCAACATATTCTTAGGCAGATTATTTTTGTAAACCACATTTTTTCCTCTTTTCTAAGAGAAGTCACTTAATGTAGTAACTAGTGTTAAAAGTCACCTTCATACATCATTTCACTCACATTTTTGACTTTGGAGGATATTACAGTTACAAGCCATTCAAGTCTTGATATTTCGCTGTCATTGACAAGGTTTCTGATTTGGAGGCCGCTGTGGACTGTGACCCATGGAGACTGCCGCCTCCATTAGGTCTCAGAGGTGGGGATGAGGGAGAGGTTTGCTGCTGCATCCAGGCTTGGGCCCGGCTAGTGGGCAGCCGAAGCGAAAGCTCTGGAGTGCTATGGAATGCAGCCCTGGGGCGCCGGTCCACCTGCCAGTCCCAAGGCCTAAGGCACCAGTCCATCTCTCACTGTGCTCCCCTTACAAGCACCACTGCCAGGCTGACTGTTAAAGAGCAGAACCTCTAACTGCCTGCTAAGAATCTTGCACTAGAAGCTGCGGGCCCACCCTGCCCCTGTTACAGGGGCAGACAAGATGGAAGTTACCGGTGAAGGAAAAATATACCAGTATTTTAGGTCCATCAAGTTTCTTTTAATTATCTCAAAAATCTTGAGAATAAAAGCTTTTAAGTCTTACATTTTTTCCTTCTACTTTACTGTCATTAAAAATATCCATAAAGGACACTTTTTAGATACATCCTATAAAAGTAATATTAATTTTCCAGAACTGCAGTTAATCCCTGGAGTCAATGGATTCCGAATCTCAAATCCTCCCATTCTGCTGGTCTGTTCCTTACATGCTAGTTTGGAGGTAAGTGATCTGTGCATCAAACCTCCCACATTGTCACCTTTCTCTTTATCTGACTGTGACACGCTGTCATATTTTACCTGTTAATCAGCTAGATTAATATGCACTGTGCATAAACGATGAACAAGGGACACGGTTCTCCTTCAAGACAGTGACTGTGGCTCATGTCACCCTTTATTTACATCTCCAGCCCCCAGCACAAGGCTTGGCACAGTGTTGGTACTTACTGTTCAATAGAACTTAGTTGGGGTGACGTATGTTTAGTTCCACCTAGAATTTGTGTGAACTTGAATGAGTCACTGGATCTTCTATTAGCCTTTCTATATGGAAAATAAGCCTGAAATATTTAAGTCTTGATTAATTCACTCATTCAAACATTTATTAAAAAACTATCATGTGTCGGACAATATCGTGATTACTGGGGACTCTTATTTCTTCTAGTTCTGTGAGTCAGTGAGCTAACAAAGTGTCATATGACAAAATTACAGGAGGACTTACTTTAAGGGGTGAGGGAGAGTATGAATATAGTCATAGTAAAGCAGAGACTGAGTAAGGTTGTCTCATGAGGTGGAGTGTATTTTCCCTCTTATTGGGGTTTCTATGTCATTATATCCATGTGTAATCTTTACTGTTACTGGCTTAGTAATTTTCTTTAAGTTCATTCATATTTTTGCTTGAAAGTAGTCTCACTCTAAATTATAATACCCAAATGGTCAGTTTGGATTTCAAGACATGCATATGTCTATTATTTCTATATATCTAGGTACTTACTTATAACTATTCATTTATACACACATATAATGCATCTATATGCATATGCATGTACATATACATATCTTCTAATTATTTGCATATCAGATATTCATTAGTTTCAGACTGAGACAAAAATTTATCTAAGTAAATATATATTGTTAAAAATTATATACTCTATGATAATGAGCTTCCCCAGTGGCCCAGTAATAAAGTATGCCTGCAATACAGGAGACACGGCAAGAGCCTTGGGTTCAATCCCTGTGTTGGGAAAAATCCCCCGGAGAAGGAAATGGCAACTCATTCCAGTATTCTTGCCTAGGAAATCCTATGGAGAGAAGAGCCTGATGAGCTATATAGTCCACGGGGTTGCAAAAGAGTTGTCAGATACAACTTAGTGACTAAAACAATAACAAATATGTAATGGTATTAATAAACATATTAAAGAAATGCATATTTTATATACATAAAGTAAAATATATTTTAAGTAAATATACATGTATATTCCTAATAGAGATCTTAAATATGTAGACATTAAAATAAAAATTTGATTTTTTAAAGGTATTGAAATCCTCCTAAAATCATATAGTTTAGGAAATTCTGTTGTGCCGTATTCCAGCGTGAGTGACTGGATAAAGACTTCCAAACCTAAAATTCTAGAACTCTATGAAAATTCACAGCAGCTTCTCATTCTGGCCACTGGACGGCAGTGTCAAGTTCCTCTGTTTTTATAGAGCTTCACCACTAGATAGTAGTAATCAACTCGTTTCATTTCATCCCAATTTAAAAAAACACCTACTCAGTGTGACCACTAGATGGAGCTTGTGCTATTTTCAGGTTTTGGCAGATTTTTCTATTTTGAGTTGAAATAGACCCAGTAACAAGATTTCTGTGATACAAATTATATTTGGGGAGGGGTGGGGGAGTGATTAAATCTGCTTGGCAAATCAAATAATGATATTTGACTTTTTTTTTAAATAGTCAACCTGAGGAATAGTTCCATTAAACTTTTTTTTTTTTTAAGAAAATAACGTTTTGCATACTTTGCAAACTTATATCAGGGAGAAGATGAATTATTAATACAATAAGGAGAAAAGAAATAAGGCAAAAAGGCACACCTTAGAAAGAAGTAGCACTTAAAGTTATTTCCTCTGATTTTACTCATCTTTGCAAATTATTTCCTAGCCATATCTAGAAAATGTCTTTTAGACACTATCACTTCAGTATTCACCTCTTCTGCAACAGAAAAAAAACAGATTCCTATTTTCCCTACCAATAGTTTTGCTCGACACTGTATAACAGTCACCTAGATATGGTTTTTATTCTCAGCTGGAATCTGAAAACAGATGTATCTTCTACTTTAATAGCTAAACTTAAACCTAAGAAAAGGACCCTAATGCCTCAGAAAAAGGATGTACACTTCTCTTGAGTTTCTCATCACTTAAGTATTTCTCTGTAGCCTCATGGAAATACCTTATTAAATAATTCGCTGTCAAGGCTATGTTTTTACCAAAATTATCTTTAAAAAATCAAACCTTGAGTTAAAGAAAGTATTTTCAAAATTCTTACTCCCCATTATAAATTGCAAAATTCTGAAATGATAAAATAATATATTTCACTGTTTCCCATTCTCTAGGTAACTGTTAAACTGTTGTACTTTCTAGATGTTTCTGAATTTGCTATATGACTATCAGTGAATTAATAGATTCAGCACTTAGCTTATTTATTTAAAAATTTTGCATATAGGAAATAAGAAGTTGAAGTTTGAGTAAGTGAAAGAAATAAACACACAAATCAAACTACATTTGTTATCTCTACTTCCCTTTATAAAAACATTCTTACACAATAAAATGCCAACTGAAGGAGAGATTTTTATACTTAAGAATCGATGTCTATTGGGACTTCCCTAGTGGTCCAGTGACTGAGACTCCATGCTCCCAATGCAGGGGTTCTGGGTTTCCTCTCTGTCAGGGAACTAGATCCTAGAGGCCGCAACTAAGAGTTTGCATGCTACAACTAAAGATGCTGCATGCCGCAACAAGGACTGATATTCCCATGTCCGAAAACAAAGATCTGGTACAGACAAATAAATAAATACTAAATAAAAATTGCAAAAAAACAATGAATTGATGTACATGGATATGATTTCAGATTTGTAATACAAAGAATTTTTTTTTAATTAGTTATGGCACTGTTCACAATGTGTATTTGATTGACGGATATGATGAAAAATAACACCTTATAATCAGTTTCAAATTGTTTCTTTATACTGTTGCCTATTTAATAATTTATGCAATAATTTTAAAAATATTGTGGATAAAGAGGAAGAATACAGTAGGAAGCAGGAGGCAAATATTCTATCCCTTACTGGGACACTAAGTATGACCTTAAACAAATGACAACTACTCTTGAATTCATTTGCCTCAAACCTTTTAATGAAGATGTTTGGACCAGATTAGTTCAGAGGTGACCTCAATCTTCCAATTAGTAAACATGACATTAAACAACACTTATATTTTATTTTGAAGGGTTCTATTTATACATTACAACAGGTAGGCAATATAATTATTTAAATAGCTTCAAAATATAAAATTAGAGCATTCAATTAAAATATAGGGCAAGTCAGAAGAAATGTACTCTGCATTCCCTCAGAAAGTTATTAGGGACCCAATTTTAAGAACTTAAGAGCTGAGAACATCATGTTATACTTATTTTTCCTATTTAAAATGATCCAACTTTTCTAACTTTGGATTTATTTTAGCTAGTAAGAAAAATAACCCAAGTAGTGGAAATTTTGCCAAGAAAAAAAGCTGAATATTTTCAAACTACACTTTTCATTTTTCCTAATTAAAAAAAAGAAAAAAAAAAAAGATTTCCACAGTGTTGAAAGCACAAAAATAATGAGAAGCAAAGAAAAAAAGGGGGAGGGGGGACATTTATTCTACTTCACTGTTAACTCCTATTATCCCCTCTTAATATTTTTAACTGAGGCTTCTGAAGAGACTTTTACACTCGGTGGGAAGAATTTAAAGCCACCTCAGAATGCAGCTTCTCTTGTTATCGTTGTAATGTGGAAAATAGTTTTCCATTTAAATGTTATTTTATTACTAACAAAGAGTAAGTTAAAATCTGATACATTAAAATCTTTGTCATGAAAACTTTTGGTTTCTTGTTATCAAATCTACAAGAGCAAAACTTCATTTAAAAAACCCTATAAACTTAATATCCCCCAAAGTCTTACTGACGTGACTACAAGTGAAATATCATTAAAAGTACTAATTTACACAGTGCCCCCATCTGCATCTTGTGGGACCCAAAGCAGATCCAGAGAGTTTAAGATCCAGAAAGTTTACTAGAATTACTTAAATAATTAAAATGTCTTCAAATTACTATGAATCTCCAAAGAGAAGCTTGGAAAGATTCCTGCTTTTGTTTTTGTTTTTTTTTAATTCCAAGCCTGACAGTCAGACCACTGGGTGGACCACATTTTACCTGTTCCTTGCTCCTGCCTTCTGTGAGAAAGTTGATTCTTGAATCAGGCTCTCTGATCGCCATTTTGTTTTACATAGGAAATGAAGAGATGCCTCCTACCAAACTCCATACAGTGAGGGTTACCCGAGTAATGAAGTAGAATTTTTTGCACTGAATGTGTCGGATATTAGCTTCTACTTTCAGCTGAACTCTTCTCAGGTTGCAGACACAGACCATGAGGTCTGGTTGGGGAAACAGACAGATACTTTTCTATTGTCTGATCCTCCTCTCTTCTTTCAATATAGTAACTTAAATATAACTCCCATCTTCTCCTTCAGCCAAATACATACCCTCTGCAATAGGTCAAGAAAATCTATGACTGGACAGTTTGAGTCCTATTAGAATGCCTACCCACACATGCCATGTGTATATATAGAAAGAACTATTTTCATAGACTTCACAGAGTATAGATATCACCAAATGACCCTATTTTTGCTCTGTGGCCTACCATGATACAGAAAAGGGACATTAAGTGGCCTGCCAGTGCATCATTCTCTGTTTGCAGTTCATTCAGTTCTTACATGTAGGATATATTTTTAAACTCTACTTGACCTTAAGAGATAAGCTAAAAAAGCATGTCTGTTCTGACCCCTAATGTTCCAACACCAGTTATTGTGTGCCCTCGTCACTCATCTTAATATAAGAAACCTCAAGAAGCAAGTGGCTTTATTTTCACACCAGTGTTAAGAGTTTAGCAGCAGAAAAAACCGATGAAAGAAGAAAAAAAGAAAGATGAAATGCTTTGGTAATATATAAGCATTATCTAACATTATTTGCTTTCCTGCCTGACAAAACTTAGCATCATTTTTAACTCCCTGTTTTCTTACTGTTAAACTGAAAGAGATTTAGGAGTTGGTAAAATGATTATGAATAATATTGGTAACACTGCCTTCCACATAAGCACTGAGCTCTTACTGTACTTTTGTGTGGACTAAGAAAACTTTATACAGGAATAGAAAAAAAAATCTTCTTGTATATAATTGTATAAAATGTTTGGAGGAATAATTCTGACATTTATAAAATTTAAATCCATTTATTAAGGTATGTTTTATATGTACTAATTATATGAAACTAATTTAAAATAGCTCTGAAGGAACATTATGTGAACTTTTTTTTTCCTGCTTTTGCAAGTATTGTTTAAACAACATTTGTATAGGTATTGTATCATGGAAACTTTGTGTTCAGTTTTTAATGGCAAAGTATTTAAAAGACATGTTTTTTATGAAAAGATGATCTAAAATGGGATATTTTATTAGAAAGGTCAGAAGCGGGCATTTCCTTTTTATCTGTGATTTACAGTTAATTTTTACTTTATAAATCAACACAAAACTGTGAACCTGATTGTTTCTCATTCTGCAGATCTTTAAACAAGCAACTATGAAAGCACTGAGGAGAAAATCTATTTTGCTAACTGGTTATCTGGAATACATGATCAAGCATTACTTCAGCCAGGACAAAGCAGAAAGCAAGAAAACAGTAGTGAACATAATTACTCCATCCTGTATAGAGGAACGTGGCTGCCAGCTAACCCTAACATTTTCTATTCCAATAAAACACATTTTCCAAGAACTAGAAAAAAGAGGAGTGGTTGTAAGTGCATCTCTTGTTTTCCTACCAGGTTTTCTCTATGGGTTGCAAATATTGAGGATAAAATTTGAATTTTTTGGTTTATGCATTTTTCTATGATAATTTTGATCAGTGAGGATAAATTAAGTGCCAACTAAGTGTTCAGCACTCTGTTAACTAAAGGCACAGAGATAGATCTGTTATTTCTGATAAAAGGGAAAACACGACAAATTTTGTTGTAGGAATCAGTATTATGTAACTTATCCATTCTTTTCATTATAGATTGGGTAGAAAAAAAAATAATGAAAACCCAAATATAAATTTGTGGAGCAGGTGGAATTAAAGAACACATCAATATAGTAGAGGGAGAAAAAGGAAATTAGTTTTGTTAGTTGTATTGAAATAAGTTATTTTCAGCCTGTTCACTGCAGTCAAAGAAGATATGTAGACACATCTTAACAGTGCTAACATTGTATGGAATATATTTTGTTGTTGTTGTTGCTTTTTACCATTGTGCCTAAATAGTCCTCTTTATCTCTTGAAGAGAACTAATAATTGTTTAATGAGCAATTCCAGGATAAACAGTGATATCTATTTCCAGGGATAACATAATTTAGAAAATACTGCACTCAGTGTTCCAAACCTTTAGGAGAGATTTTCCCAGTTTTTGGAGACACATAGAATATCAGCAATCCAAATAAAATTCTACCATTTGCAAGCCATGTGCTCCTGTGAAAGTTAGTAAACATCTATTGACTTGAGACTTCTCATCCATATTGGAATCAAATATACTTACCTCAAAATTTGTTATGGAATTAAATGTGCCGGCAAACACAAATCATTCATTATATTGTCTAGCCTGTAGGGGTGTCTCTTAACAACAGAGTCATAGTGATCTTCAGACTAAGCTGAATTATCTAATTCATGAGATTAGGGATTACTGAATTCAATGGAAATATAATTGACTAAAACTCTCCAGATCTCAGTGAAGTTCTCATTCATTGAAATGTGTGCAAGGGTTCCAGTCTCTTCAGGGTCTCCCCACAGATAAACTATACACGTGATCTATTTATTGGATGCTTATAAAGGATGAGTGCACTTCAGGAAAGTACTTCAGACATTAATGTACCAACCCATTAATATTTTAATGATTATTAAGAGAATAGCTTCAAATAACACAAACATGACGTTTTACTTAAAGTGAAAAAGAAATGCTTACATATTAAATTTTAGGGTAATCAGTATGAATGTTTTATGTAAGTTTCTCTTGAATGCAGATTTCCATTATGTGAAAAATGTTAACATTATTGTGGCTTTACTTTTTGTTTCCCCTACAGTGTGACAAACGGGAGCCAGATGGCATTCGAGTGGCTCCAGTTCCTCTCTACAATTCTTTCCATGATGTTTATAAATTTATCAATCTGCTCACTTCTGCACTTGGCTCTGTAGAAACATAAAATAGCAGTATTTTTCACAGCAACTAAAGCAAGTAAAATGGAAAGCCTGCAGTTACTTTATTACTATTATTCAAGTCTTAATTAATGGAAGTATTTTAAAAATGATTACAATTAACTGGAAACGAATTGCATACTTTATAGAAAAACTTGACAATTTTGCTCAGGGTCTGTGGTCTTGAGATCTCTATGCTGTCCAACTTCTTGGTGTTTGGTGAATCAAAGTATTTATTGGTATAAGTATTATGAACACAGTCTTGATTATCTGTCACATTTCATAGTTAATGAAATGTTTTCTGTTGGTTTAATTATAATTTGAATGAAAACTTCATATGTATGTAGAAATTTTTGTATCAATTTTAGAAATATTACTTTAATTTTAATTTACCAAGCAATTTCTTATAGGTACTGCCATTGAACAGTCTGAAGTATATATGCTTTTTACAATGTTCCACCTAATTCCAATCTAAGAAACACAAAATACATTTTCTAGGGCAGTGGCTTTCAAATACTTTGGTCATAGTCTATACTAAGAAATGCATTTAATATCAGGTTTGTGTACATGGGTTACTTCATTGATTCTAATACACAACTTTTAATCACATTTTAACATCCGGTAAAGAAGAAATATCTTTCAACTTTCATTCAACAGCTTCTTAAAATTGCCACTGGCCAATCTTTCATGTTACAATCCCTGATGGTGCCATGATTCTCATACTGAGTATATATCATCCTAGATCTGGTTTTAAAGTTGTATACATAATAGAAGCAAAAGTTGCATAAATTATTCACCTATGCTTTAATATTCATTTACTTTATGTCATCACAACAAATGTTGGTTGAAGTTCATTAAATTGATTTCTTTACTCACTCTTGGGTCTTAATCCATTTTTCATGGATGTCTTTTTATTTAATGTTATCATAATCTCTTGCTTTTGTTTAATGGGAATCACTCTGGATAAAAGACTTTAGATGCTTCTCTTCTGTAAAAGAGTGAAATAAATTATTTGAAGATTCTTGCAGTTGAGGATCAGAGTTAGGAAATAAGTGCTCATCTCTCAAGCCCTGTCCCACATCTATGGACTTTTCTTTCCCACTGTGAAAAAAAAACAAAACTGCAGTTACATTCAACCCTGTAAGATTCCCCTAGTTTTTAGCTGTTGATGCCATAAACACTATTCATGAATTGGCAAAATATTCCACACTTCTGTACATAAGCAGCAAGAAAAAGTAAGTACGATATAATTATTGCCCATGATGAAACAAATTAACTGAGCCAACCACTTTGAATGGCAGAGTTAAATAAAAAGTTGCAGAGCTCCGACACCAACACCAGCAACTCCTGATATTTATGGAGTACTTCCTACATACCATGTATTCTGCTATTCTATTTATATGTTATCTCATTTAGATGAGTAGTTGCATAATTACTTGAGAAGTGCTTTCCACCTCCACTTTTGGCAAAACTCATCCTCATAGATGGAAAAATTCTCAAGACCTTAAAATCTGACCATAAATGACTTCATCTAGAAGAAACAGTTTTTGAACCTCATAGTGGTACACGAGAAAAGACACAGCTTCAGCTCGCAGAGGACAGGTAGCTTAGGGAGGAAATAGATTGTAAACCTATAAACATCCAAGTAAACATATACTCACAAACCATAACTTCATCTATGAAGATAAATGGTGATATTATGAGAGAAAAATCTTAGGGGTATTCACTAGATGGTTGAGTAAAAGAAGGTGTATGAACGCATTTATCGGTTTAAGTTCCAAAGTATTTCATGATAATTACATCAAAATTACATCAAATTGTGTTAAAAACCATTCAAAGCATAATCAGCGCTCTGTCCTCATCGGGTAGGTGAGAAACAGTATTAGAAACTAACTTTCTCCCACTTGCATCCCCCTCTCTCCCTAAAGAGATAATCATTGAATTAAATATGTTAATCATTTCCTTTCTCTAAAATTTTATAACTACATATTTACCCATAAAAATATATTAGCCAAACTTGCCTGTGTGAACTTTATATAAATTTAATCATACTATATATATTCTTCTGCTTCTTTTGTTCAGCTTCTTATTTTTGGAGATTCATTCGTTATACATCATTTTTCATTCATTCTCATTGCTGCTCAGTAATTTATTATATAATTGAAATTGTTAATTCATTTTACTACTGATGAAGATGTGAGTTATTCCAAACATCTGTAATATTGCAACAAAGCTGCTATTAACATTCTTAGTGTACACATTCAAAAGTACAACCAGGACACACAACTGTGAAAGTGCTGAGTCACAGGCCAAACACATGTTCAACTTCGCTGTGTACTGGCAAACTTTTCCAAAGTGACTGTACCAGTTTCCATGCCAACCAGTAGGACATGAAGATTTCCAAGCTCCTCACCCTTGCCAGTGGTAGCTGTTGACTGCCTTTGTCCTGTGTACATGTTAAAACAGCCAAGGTGATTATTAAAAAAACAGAGAATAAATTCTTTAGCTTCCACACAAGAACAAAAGGAAAAAAAAAAAAATGAACACACATACACCACACCTGTTAATGCTTCAGACAACATTCTTATTTTGTGGATTAAACCAAAACCAGACTTTTTCCCTGGATTTTACACTTATCCAGCCTCTTTTGCTTTCTGTTTTCTCTTCCCAGGTTTTTTTTGTGATAAGTGAAAATTGTTTCAGTAAAACATATTTACCCAAATCCCTGTCTGAAGGCCTATTCCTTGGGAACTAAATCTAAGACAGCATTTCTTTTAGCTACTCTTAATAATCATAAATATTAATATTTTAGGTGTATGCATGCTCAGTCGCTTCGGTCATGTCCAATTCGTCACAACCCCTTGGATTATAGCCTGCCAGACTCCCCTGTCCATGGGATTCTCCCATCAAGAATACTGGAGTAGGTGGCCATGTCCTCCAGGGGATCTTCCTGACCCAGGGATTGAATTTGTGTCACGTGCACTGCAGGTGGATTCTGCATTGAGTCATCAAGGGAGCCCAAGAATTTTATATTCCACATCTAATATATAATGAATTTACAGATGTTTCTGTTGGTTTTCACATAAAATGCGAGTTTCCTTGTTGTATATATTGCAATTGTTAACTTTATGGTGCTCCTTTATCTTGACCTTTTGAAATTCTTTAAGAACTGGGTTAAAGTGTATTATTTGAAAGATATTCATGCTTGCTTCTGCCAGTTGCCCTGGGTCACTTCTGACTTTTTTCAGGCTTTTCAAATCAAATCAACCAAATATTTTTGGTTGTCAATATTACGCCAGGCTCTACTATCAGCATACTTACCTTGACCAATCTAGGCTTGTCTCATGTCCTATTTAGTTATCAGCTCTGAAGCTCAGTGACTCTGGGATTTGGCACATACTCAGGATGAAAGCCATGCTTTGATCCTAAGCTTATTTTGATCTTTGCTTACTTCCCAGGTTCCTGTTTTAATTCATTTTGCAGTTCTAAGAATTTCTCACTTTCACGCCATCTCATTTTAGAAGGCATTTTTTGTTGTTTTTCTTTTGTTCTTTTTTATCTGGTATCGAATCCCTCACAACACGCTAAACAGTCAAGTGAAGGTTTATGACTGAAAACCAAAGCAATGTATATACTTCTTGTTTTCTTAAGTATAACATGTGACAAATCAATCTTACTTTCTCAATAACTCATGTATATCTATATAAATATCAATTCTTTTATAATGATACCCTTGGGTGCTATTGTAATACACAGGTCTGTTTATGTAATACTAAATTGTATTTATTATACAAAACTTACTGGAGAAAAGGCTGGATGTAAAGTCAATAACTTATTTTCAAATTAAAGAAATAAGCTTTTTCTACAGCTATTTTCTGCTCAATAACTTTCAACATATTCTTGCATTCAAAACTATATGGGTTTACATTCAAATTCCATTATATTTTTGTTTCATAAATTGAGATTGTTAAAGCAATGATTTTTAAGTATTTATAAATGGATTTTGGCATAATCTTAAGAAAGAAATCCGCAAACACCACAAAAGCACATCATAAGATAACACAGTAATCACTGGGTTACAGTACTGCTCTCTTACTGAGAAGGTTGATTTGTTGCTTCTGTGGACCATTAGTATCTGCATTATGTGTTTGATAAAGGTGTGAAATATGTACCTGGCCCTCTAGTAAATTCACTTTTAATCTCAGCAAGATATTCTCAAAGAACAAAATGATAAGGAGGATTTATAAACTAATGGATTTAAACATTTTTGGTGTGGTTTGGCTTATTGCAATTATTATTTTTACTAATGATCTAGTGTTCCAATTTTTGACTGTCTCAAGTGACTCCTGAATCCTTTTGACATTACCTCAGCTATTTTTTGATAGTTTCATTGTTTTTTAATTGACAAGATGTACGCTTACTTTGACTATTTCCTACTTCAAACTTGACATCACCCATTTCTTTAAAAATATTCAATCTCTTTTGGAAAAAAATGGTATTTAGAAACTATAATCTTAAAGTAAGAGTTCTCATTATAATTGGGTTGATCATTACTTCCACAATTTTGTTTAAAGAGGATAGGAAATAAACATCTTTAAGAGAAATTACATCTTTATTTTATATTCATATTTTCAATTTAACCCAGGATAACAAAATTTTTACTTAATCTACTTTATATTTTATTTATTGTGCTGGAAACCTTGGTTCTAATTATATATTAGTTCCTAGTTTTATCATATATACTACATACTATTGTATATATATTCAATACATATATATGTTAAAATATATAGTTTTAGAATTAGTAATACTAAAGCTATCATAAACAATATGGTAAAAACACGTTAAGAGCTTTTGGAAACTTTTTTTTTCCTTAGAATATGTTTCCCTAGGAATAGTTAGTCAGATTACTGTCTTTAATAGGCACTTGTAATAACTCTTCTTTGTGTGGTTGTGCTCTGTATGATTATATGCATAAAACTATATACAGAGTTAGGTTCAGTACTTT